AGCACCCGCAGGTGTTCTGCAAGGGGTTCCGCAGAACGGTTATTTTAAAAATACGGTTTCGTGAACTACCCTGAGTGCCGGGTGCCGCTACGCCCTCAGCGGGGGTGTACCGAGTGCCCCGTGGCCTCTCCGGCCAACTCAGAACTGCTGGTCACTCGGCGTTTGAAAAACGGGAGCTTAGTAGCTCTTCGGTAGCCTACGCTTAAAAGTCACATAAGCAAAGGATTTGGGGTTTCTTACGGAATTAAAGCATTATTATCTCAAGATCCTTTGTGTGTTTCACGGACTTCCTCTGCTAAATGAAATTTCGAGGTATCACAGAATGGTTTGGGTTGGAAGGGACCTTAAAGCCCACCCAGTCCCAACCCCCCTGCCATGGGCAGGGACACCTTCCACTAGACCAGGTTGCTCCAAGCCTCATCCAGCCTGGCCTTGGACACTTCCAGGGATGGGGCATCCACAGCTTCTCTGGGCAACCTGTCCCAGTGCTCCCCACCCTCTGCAGGAAGCATTCCTTCCTGATACCTAATCTAACCCTCCCCACTTTCAATTTAAACCCGTTACCCCTTGTCCTGTCACTACAGGCCCCTGTAAAAAGTCCCCCCCCAGCTTCCTCGTAGCCCCTTCAGGCACTGGAAGGTGCTATAAGGGCTCCCCGGAGCCTTCTCTTCTCCAGGCTGAACAAGCCCAACTCTCTCAGCCTGTCCCCATAGCAGAGGGGCTCCAGCCCTCGGAGCATCTTCATGGCCTCCTCTGGACTTGCTCCAACTGGTCAATATCCTTCTGATATTGAGGGCTCCACAGCTGGGCGCAGCACTCCAGGTGGGGTCTCACAAGAGCAGAGCAGAGGGGGAGAATCCCCTCCCTTGCCCTGCTGGTCACACTTCTGATACAGCCCAGGATACGGTTGGCTTTCTGGGCCAACTGGAGGAGGTGTCTTCTAGGTTTGGTCGTGGCTACAGTGCCACGTAGCAGGAACAGACTTACAGTGAACGCGACTTTAGCCTTGACTCACCAGGTGAGAGGTGTCGGAGAGCTGTCAGCCTGGGTTTCACAGCGGGCAGAGCCCATGTCGAACCTGCTGCTGGGTGGGCTGCCTTCAGGCTAGGCAGTAGTTCTCATGTTTTCTGCTTACTTCTGCAAGAGGAAAAAACCCGTTACTGCCTCCTGGTGTCCCCAAGTGGACATCCTTACTTGCCTCTAGAAGCTTTCACCTTTTTATTTCACAGTTCTGCTTTTATGGATGTGTATTGCCAAGTGTCACTTCTTCACGTGCTGAAGGGTTTCCCTCGGCATCGAGTACGATGTTTCAAGCGTAACGTTTGCCGTTTCAATCATTTACCGAGTGCCGTTTGACAGTGGAACCTGGCATTCCTCGTCACTTGCCTCCTGCTTTCCTGCCTTTGTCAGTAACCTGACCTGGGAAAAACTGGCATATGAAGTACTAGTTGAAAGCCGGGGGGTCTGTTTACGCCTGGGTTATTCCTCCTCCGTCTGGTGGATTATACAGAAGGTAGAGCGGGATGGGCAAGCTAACAGGATTAACAGAGAATACTGCTGATTTGAGACGGGGTTTACCACCGATCTGTTTTCTAGATCCATTTCAACAAAACAATCATCTTGGCTGTTTTAAGAACCCTAATTGCAACGAGAACCAAGATTCCGTTCAGAGTGGGAGCTCTTTCAATGCAAACACCTGTGAAACCAGCTCAAACATCCTTGAAAACAAATCCGAATAGCACAGTATGGCTCAGGACGTGCAGCTAAATTAGATCATCTTAAACCAGGGATTCTCATGGTAAACTCCATTCCCCACTTCTCTTTCAGGTTTCGTTCCAGAGACACTGTGTCCTCGGTTCTGTATGAATGTTCCAAGTTTACTTCATTTCACGTTCTTCCTGAGGGAAGGGCGAGTACCATCATGGAGACCATGGACTCTGCGGAAGCAGCAGTTTTCTGTGCTCAGAGTGGCCTTACTTCAGGCAGCACGGAAGAAGGACTCCTTCAGTCTCCCTGGACTGGCTGAGGCAGAATTAGAAGAACAGTTTGTAAGAGGTGATGGCCCAGGAGGTCAAGCCACAAATAAGACAAACAACTGTGTTGTCTTGAAGCATATCCCATCTGGGATTGTAGTGAAGGTAATTATGCTTTGTTTCATTAAGTCACTCATTTGCATCATGTTTTCCAAGTCTCCTTTCACTGTAAGGCATAAGCACAGTTCTAATATCATGAAGGAGGGGTTTGTATGTATTGTAAAGAACCTCAGCAAGAAGCAGTTCTGGCTCGCAGCAGATAAACTTGGGGTCACAGCTGATCTCCCTGGCCGTGACGCGCACCGCTATTTTGTAGTTTTCCATAAAATATGTCCATTGTACCTGCTTTTCAGTGGCAGCTGTCGCATTCCTATGCCTCTTGTGTCTTCCGTAACCAGTTGATCATACTTGCCTTGCAGATTCTTTTTAAGCATCACTCCCCTACTTCCTGTGGATTAACACTTTGAAATTAATCTGCTTCCTGGTGACAGGGGAAGACACAGCTAAGTTAAACTCAGAAGCAGCTTTCCAGGGTAACGTGGAAGCAATCTTGTTTGCTGACAGAATTAAAGATTAATGCAAATGCCAGTCTGACAAGTTACAGCATCAAAGAATTATTAGGCAGCCTCTCCGAAATACATCCTCTGGATACAAAAGTTCCAGCAGTTCTTGGTAGGAGGATGCTCTCAGCTTGGGCGGGAGGGAGTCTCCTTACTGTAGTGGCAGGAATAGCAGACTGAAAGGGAAGGCAGGGGAAGAAACTGGTTAAAGTTCCTGTAGAAATGTCCTATTGTATTTCTTCAGTGTCATCAGACGCGATCAGTGGAGCAGAACCGAAAGATAGCCAGAGAAATCCTGCAGGAGAAAGTTGACCTTTTCTACAAAGGTGAAGATAGTGATGTTTTTAAAGAGAAAAAGGCATTGGAGAAGAAGAAGCAGGAGAAAAAAAGACGAGCAAGGGAAAACCTAGAAAGGAAAAAGCATTTCAAAGAGATGCTGCAACAGCTGGAGAAGAAATAAACATGTGGAATACTGACTCGCCCTAGCAGGGTAAGAGAAATGATTGTCATTGTACCTGAACACAGGTTCCAACCTAACGGACGATGCAGGGCTTCGTGAGCACGTCTGAAATCCTGAGCAGCGACCTGCTACTCCTGCAAAGCTGAAGTGAGAAAAGCAGTCACGTAGTCCTACTGCCGCCTGCCACCATCCCACTAATCACACTTAGCAATCGGGTTTTCTGCCAGGTTCAGAAGATGGTAAACCAAGCCTTGTTAAAAGGGAACTATAAACTTTTCCCCATTGTTAATGGAGACAGAAAGAATCAATAGGTCTCCTTCTGCCCAGATGACACCTCATGATGCTTCCTAGGAGTTGCAGTACGTAAGAACAGCCCTCAAAGGTTCTAACTTCCCGTCCTTCCTCGCACCATGCCTCTACTGACATAAATGCTGTGTAGCAGCTGCTGGTTCTGCTGGTGTAAACAGTCATGCTGGCAGGGGAGGTGCCAGTCCCTGGTTGCCTCCTTCAGATCCGTTAGCTGAGCAAGCGCTCTGCTCTGCTCGATTGGGAACGAAGCCTGGGCAGAAGCTTTACAAATCTTACCCAGCGGCGATGGGCTTTGGGGCAGGAGGCACTGCTGCGAGTGAGGGTTGGTCACTCGTGTTCTTCCCGTTCAGAGGGGAAAGCGGGTCGTTACAGATGAACACCATGTGCTGGAAGCTGCCTCCCAAGGCAACAGAGTCTGATTCATCTGTTGTGGTGTGAAGTAATTAACTTTTCCTCCTAATTCTGTGTTTTCTTCAATTATCCATAGCTCCGCATCTATCAGATATCCCGGATATCCCATCTTCCTTAGGATTTAGACTGGGCAGCACAAATAGTGAATCACAGTCGTTCATTATGTTTATGCTGTGCTGCAGTTTGGGTGTGAGCGTTCGGGTATCGTCACTCGTTTTGAGTTTCCAATTTCATGCAAATACATGCAGCAGCTTTTCCTTTGTTACTGTTACTCTGGAGCCACCAGAGAGATACACTTTCCCGTCCTCATCCTGTTACGAACTCTTAATTGCTTAACCAGAACTTCTTCATTTTTGGACAGCATCCTCACCAGCTGCCACCAACTCCTCACCTTCAACAGGGAAGGGGAAGTGCTTTGAGAACCGAAGCCACGGTGTGTATCTTGAAAGCCATGGAGACTACTAGCAACTGTACTGCCTTCTTACGGCGATCGACTGAGTCCGGACGGTACCAGGGACGGAAACTCCAGCAACCTGCCGGCCTATTCCCTTGTCTCTGCCTGAACTTGAGCCTCCTGCACAAAGGTTAAAGCTTCACCAGTCGAGAGGTCTTGTTCATGGGGTATGAATCTGATTAAAGTGACTGCACGTAGTTTTAATACAAACTGTTAATGAAAATAAGCTTTATTACGTCAAGTAATAAATACATACAAAGATGCAAATAACAGTTCTAGTAATTTATCCAGAATTTTCTTTTTCTTTTGGCAAACTTTAAACTGAAATCTCCAGCCTTAATGTAGAAATTAGCTTTCCAGGACCTTGTTGTTATTTAATAGGTGTCCCCTATTTTCCATATAACTCATGCACTTTAAATGGACTTCAAAGCACTAACAGTCATGCAAATGTTTATGCAAAACGAACAAAAAAGGAAAAATAAGAGGAGGGGAAGGTTATTTCTAAGCAGGGTCTATGCTGTATGACAAATTGTGACTTAGCAGACTACTAGGTACAGCATGCTATTCTGCATTTATTAAAAAAAATCCTTAGAGCTTATGTCAAACTTGGAGAGATTGACAGGTTGGGGTTAAGTGAATATAGTCAGAGAAGTAAACAGACTGAGACTGTGGCTGGATAAGAAGAGAACTGAAATACAGCCTGGGAGAGAGAGAGAGCATTCCTCTGCATGCAGTTCAGTTTTCATGTTCTAGAAACATTTTAGGGAGTTTTAACGTCTTTACAAAATGCAAACCCTCTAAGTTGAAAAATCCTTGTTTTCTCATTCTTAACTATACATTTTTGTAAGGTCAAACCAAGAAAGGTAAAACATTCAAAATAAAGGATTTTTTCTGAATGTTTCAAGAGTCAGAAGGAATAAGCGTTACTTTTTCTTCACTGAGAGATGGAAAATCTTGCATCGTAGCGGGCTAGGATCTTGCATTTCGTTCCGTCTCAGCCAGGCATTCCCGAACTAGACCTCTAGCATGAATAATGCCTGCAAAAGAATTGGACATTTTAAATCATTTCATTCAGGTCACACTTGCAGCAACGGTTCGGAGAAAGGTTTACGTATTTCTGTCCCGAGTTGCCAAGGCTACGGCGGCATGCCTCGGCAAAGGGAGAGATCCCTTCCCTCCCAAACAGCAGCTGCTGCTAAACAAGTTTGCTTTCCCAAACTGGCATCATAAATTGGAAAGGGACTAAACCAGGAATCAGAGCATGGAAGGATGTGTTGGTTTTGGAGTGACAGGTGGATCTTCATGGGCAGTGCAGACCTATTTAAAATCAGAGACTGAACTAGAAAGTAAAAAACCCTTGTACCTACCTGTGAGTTATTCTGCTATAGTGGAGTGAAGGAAAGAAGTTATTTGGGGAGGGATTTTAGCAAGCCCTACAAGTCTCAGGAGCTCAGGATAGTTCTCTGAGAAGATGCATCAAAATCCAAGCTTTCATCCTACTGTTTTAACCCAAGTTGTGTGTTTTGTGAGAATGAGAAGAATTTTTTTTTATGGTATGTGCAAAAAGTTACCTCCCAACACTGGCTCAGCTCCCAGTGTAAATCATCACCACTCTGCAGGCTGCCATGTCTGCTCTCATCTGACAGACATAATGTGGAATTTTCCACGAGTCGTCCTGTTGCCTTGAGTTCCAGCAATCTGGACCTTGATTCTTAATCCTGGAACTAAATCTAGATTCCTGCTCACAGAGCTTGCTGAAAGAACAGAGCTTGAGATAGATTTTAAAATGAGAGCTGGACAGATTTTTCTACAACAAATGAGGTTATATTTTACTGACAGGACAAGGCAGAAGGCAATTTCTCTGCTCAATCATGCTCCTTCACAAGGTGGAGAAAGGACAATGAGGCAATAGATAAGGACTAATCTCGAAGTGGAGGTAATGGATTCTCTTTCTGGAAGGCTGCGAGCCCAGGCCGCAGCAACATCCAGGGAGTACTGACTTGGGACTTGATGGATGCAAGGCTGGGCAGAGGGTTAAATTGATGCAGACACCTCAAGCTGCATCCCACAGCCGTGGGATGCAGAAACACGTACTCAGAGCAGCGCGTTAGACCTGGACCCGGTGGCAGGACGCCCAGTTGATGCAGCAGACCTACCCTGAATTATGTAGAACACTGGGAATTTGGCCAGTTTTAGAGGTCAGTAGCCTCTGTGCTTAGGAGTGGGTGGAGCCAGGGACAGGGACTTGAATCAGGAATAACCTCCACATGGCCATGGAAGCTGCAGTCACGTGGCTACCCGCAGCCACTTTGGCTCTCACACTGGCACATGCTCCCTCAGCCATTATGCTCCCTGCGTGGAGAGAGGTATGTTTGTGACCAAAAGATGGCAGCAAAAAGTATTTATTTGGGATTCTTCACAATGCTGGCGGCAGCACTGAATCTTAAACCTACATTAGCCAACAAACTGAATCCTCACTGCAAGAAGCGAGCAAAACGTTTCCGCACCAACCCGAACCGTTGGGAGAATGTCTGTGCCTCTCCCGGTCCCTCTCAAGTTGTCCCCATTAGCCTATTGCCATTCATGATCTATTAATACTGACTCAGGCAATGCAATAAAGAGAGACTCCAGCAACATTGATTTTAGCTGGGCCAGGTTCCACTTACCACTCATCAGCAGACTTTATTGCATCCTTTCCCAGAACAGCTACTAGTCATTTTATTGCACGTCACGGCAGATATATTGCTCTCCCATAATGGTTGAGCCTTAAATAAAGCTTTGTAGTCTTGGGTAAATGTAAGGGGGATTTGCAAGTTCGGCTGCTACAAGAACGTTTCCATTCAGGGTTGAATGCATGAGCCAAACTCGGCACAAGGACCATGGAGAAGGAGGAAGAGGTAAGTACATTACACTGGCAAAGCACAGGGCTGCCAGCACAACTGTTGTCGATGGCCTTTCAGGGTCATTTCAGGAGCTGGAGCAGTGGAATGTCCCACTGCTCCTTCAGAAATATCCCTCGCACGTCCCCTGCAGAGGACAATGCCAAGCTGATGTCAGCAGCGGGGCATGCGGGGGTTTCTTTTACACGGCAAGGAAAGGGCATTTATTACCCCTTCCAGCTGACAAAGCAAAGCCAGAGAGACCTCATCAGCCAGGCCTAAAAGCTCCTACGTCCCTTACGAGTGGACTCTTAATGACATGCACTTGAGAGCAGGGAACGGAGCCTGAGCAGCCCAACGCTCCACGGAGCAGGAAAGGTGTATGTTTGACCGCTCACTTCCCCAACAGCCGTTTTTTTGCAGCTCTTCACCAGGCTTAGTGTGAGTTAGTCACCACAACACGGCATCTCTTTCGGCAAAATGCACTTTAGTAAAGACTTCTGGGTCAAGTAGATGGGTGATGTATAGGAGAAGTTTCAGCTGCTTGCTAATAAACGTCGTTTAATGATGAGCTCAAGACAGCCATCTCCTCTCGAAAGAAACACTGTCATCTGTGTAAGCAGCCAGGGCACAAAATGCACAGACACCATTTTTTAAAAGTTTTTAGATAAATTTAAACATTACCTCTTTTTAGCCTCTCCATCGCGCTTTTACTCCCGGCGTAGGTGGGTCTAATCTCTTTTCCTAATTCTTCTATGATAGCTAGGAGTTCTGCATATTTGCTCTGCGGTACTTGACTGCTGCTGGTACCCTGGAGTTGAGAGTAGATTAGTTTCTCAATCAAATACTGCTAAAACCAAAACAACTACAACAAACAGTAACTGGAAATTCAGGGAGGACCAGAAATACCCCCGTAACCCACTTTTTTTTTTTTTTAAATCACATTT